CGGAAACTTCAATTGGTGCAAAATATGGCAGCCAGGTTGGTCTCTGGTCCATCTAAAAGAGACCACATAACACCTGCTTTGAAGTCTCTTCACTGGCTGCCTATTAGTTTCTGGACCCAGTACAAAGTGTTAGTTATTACCTATAAAACCCTAAATGGCTTGGGCCCAACCTACCTTTGAGACCGCCTCCTCCTGTACAATCTGCCCTGTGCACTTTGGTCCTCTGAGAGGAATCTGTTACAGGTGAAAAAAATCTAGACTGTCAGGTACTTCCCAGAGGGCCTTTTCGATGACCGCTCCCAGACTATGGAACAGCCTGCCGGACGGGATCCGTCATTTACAAACCTTAGACAGCTTTAATAGGGCTGTCAAGATGGATCTCTTCTGGCAGGCCTTTCCTGATTAGTCCTCCCAGTCATAGAACCTGTCCTCTGTACCTCTTCTTTTCCCCATCCCAGCTGCTATTATATCTTCTGCTGCTGCTGCTGCAATTATCGTAATCTGTAATTTTGTAATTTATTTTTAAATTGTTTTAAACTTGATGCTGTTTAATAATTTTTAAGCGTTGGGAGGGGTTGGAGTTGATTTTATTGTACTGTATTTTTATGTTGGAAGCCGCCCTGATTGCTATGCAGAGGGGCGGGGTACAAATAAACTTTATTATTATTATTATTATTATTATTATTATACCCTAATCCTGAAACTGGAGGCTGTTGTTTCCCATTCTAACAAATAATCTAATAATGTTTGTTTATAACCCTTTCCACCAAAGGGCACAACAGACACAACAGCCTTCTGCTTCAGGGATGAAGAAGAGGAATCCATGGTTTCCTTCTGCACTCAACTCATGAAGTTGGAGTCTCTTGTGTGAATGGTAGACAGCAGCCTCCAGCTTTAGGAGTTAGAAGGGTGAAGAAGTTATTTAGTTGTTAGCCAAATTATTGGATTACTGTCTTTATATGTTAATCACTTTGATTTTATCTGCTGGAGACAGAAATAGAATTACTGTAGTTCTGGTGACAATAGAGCCAGTGTGGTGTAGTGGTTTAAGCACTGGACTACGACTCTGAAGACCAGAGTTCAAATCTCCACTCAGCCATGAAAATACACTGGTTGACCTTGGGCAAGTCATATTTTCTCAGCCCCAGAGAAAGGCAAGGCAAAACCACTCTGATCAAAATTTGCCAAGAAAATCCCCAGTGGGCTTGCCTTAGGGCCACAAAGTCCATGATTGGGAAACGGCTTGAAGGCACATAGCAACAAAATGACAGTAGAAAAGATTCACTTTGGGCCTTTACAGACTGCCAGAAATAATGCAGTTTGATGCCACTTCAACTGTCCTGGCTCAATGCTAAGGAATCATGGGAACTGTAGTTTATTGTGGCACCAGAGCTCTCTGACAGAGAAGGCTCAATGTCCCAGAAAAAAATACAATTCCCATGATTCCCTAGCACTGAGCCAGGACAGTTAAAGTGACCTCAAGCTGCATTATTTCTGGCAGTCTATAAAGGCCCTTTGTCTCAGGATGTTGCCATTCCCTAGAACTTTTTTGCCAACTTTCTAAGGGCTGCCGTGCATTTGAGAACTACTTGTGAAAGGTAACTTGAGGTCATTACTTTCTCAACACGGGTAACCTTGAAGTTCCTCTCTGTTGCATTAATAACACATTGTCATTTGATATTTGAAGTAAACTTTAAAACACTCTTGTGACTATAATATGCTATAATTCTGTTTCTCGTGGCATTTTTTATTGCAGAATAATATGACTGATGTAGTTTAGATTTGGTGTTATGTTTGTCATACCTGTTTCCCCACTCAAAACCTCTAGTCTCCATTAATGTAAATTAGAAATACAGAGCATGTTGAGATGTCATAATAAGCCATGGCTTGTATCAGCTGTAGTTTGTTGTATAATGCAGATGACTAAATAAATCATTGCTTGTCTTCTGCATCTCTGGTTTGTTTCTCTCCTACCTCTTTGGTCAGCTCCTTTTTCAGGGAGGGCAGCTATGGAAGCAAGACAGGTACAAGAATATGTGGTTTGTGATTTGTTAGCAGAAGCTCATTTATACATCACAACAAAGCAGATTTCAATGAACAACACCATGGCTTGCTGTGATCATATTTTGTAGGTTCTTTCTGTTTGAAAGGTTTTATTAGTTTGCAGCTTATTTTTTAAAAATAACAGCACCAGGCTCAGTACTCCCATTCATGTTCAGTAATTTATTTATTTCCATAGTCAAACCATTGATAGTCCACTATATTTAGTACACTGTGTTTAGTACATCCTCAAAAGAGAATGTTGAGTATATTAATGTCTGACTGATATACAGTCACCCGTCAGTATCCAGATATCCCTGCAGATATCAAAATCAGCAAATACTCAAGTCCCATTGTCCTCAATGGTGGCACAGCCATTGGGGACAATGGGACTTTGCTGCCCCAGCCGCCTGAAGCCCCCCTCACCACTCTCACCACAGCAGGGGGCTGCGTCCTCTGCCTCCTCCTCCTCTCCCCCTGTCTCTGCCTCTTATTCCTCCCTCCACCTCTTCCTTCTCTTCCTCTGATGCCTCTGCCTCTTTCTCCTCCTCCCTCCTCCTCTTCTCACCACCTCTTCCTCCTTCCCTCCTCCTCTTCCCTTCACCTTCTCTTCCTCCTCTCTCCTCTTCCTCCTCTGCTGCTCCCCACGCAGGCTTGCTGTCTGTAGATGCTGAGATCCGTGGATGGGAAGTCTGTAGAAACTGAGGCAGACTGTATATGCAGCCTCTACGCATTAACCTGAAGTTCTCAGCCTTGGGTTTTTCTCCCATGTTATTTTAGGGTTGACAAATTCAGTTGTGTATGTAGGTTGCATTCACAAAATTTGTGTGTAATCTTTCACCATTGTTTATGAGGTTATGGCTCCCCTGTTCAGAAGCATATTTTTTAGAGAAGTTAATGATTTCATTTTATATTAGTATTGCAGGGCAGGAGGATGTGGGGAAGAGGAGAATTTATGATTTTTTATTTAAAAAATGGTAAAAGAATGTGGTGGGAGATGAAAGAATTAATCACTTTTTACTCTAATAAATCTAGCTTCAAATAAATGAAATTTATATTTGTGTAAGTTTTACATATTCATACTCATAGAACCTGCTATATATCAGATACCCAAAGAACCAAGTGCACTGATATGAATCTGACCCAGGTTCTGAAACTTGCCTGGTTTGTGTATTGGCATGTAAAATAAGGTTAACGAGCACAAGGAGGAATAGTGTCTTCTCTTTAGTGGCCTCAGTTTTTGAAATGCATTGCTCCAGGATGTCTATATGACTCTCTCCCTGACTTTTCGGTTTTAAACAAGCATAAAAAGATTTGCTTGTCTTGTGCTGTTTTCCACTGATTTTTTTAAAGGCTGGTTTTCTTATTCTCTTTTTAAAATCTTCTATGTTTTAATTGTTATGTGACTGCAGTTATTTTAAAAATATTTAATTAACTGTATTCTAGTTTTATTTTTATTATTTTGAAAAAAAATTGTCTTAGGGAGGCTTTGTTCTGAAAGGGAGTATAGAAGTCCTTCAAATAAACATAAATTGCCCACTGTCCCAAGAATATACATACATACAATAGCTTCAGAGATTTACTGCAGCCTGCCCAACACCTCATGAAGTGAGAAGACAGGCCTAGTGATCCTTTTCAAAAAGAAAAAGGGTGCCACCTCCTGTCAGAGAGCTGCTTACTAACTATCATCCTGAAAAGGTATGGCTCAGCTTCCTGCTGTGAGAAATCTAGACCATCAAAAGATGTGACTGTCCTGATAAAAGATGGGAACATATCATCTGGAAGTAAAGATTCATTTCTTCCCCAGTTTTTTGTGGGTTTTTTTTTTTTTTAAGGGGGAGCATCTTGGGTTTCCTTGTATTTAATTGTCAAGAGAAGAAAAGTACTTTCCAGTTGAAAATGTACTGTACATACTCCTGTATAAGTCTAGAAATATTAATCAAAAATTTGACCCCAAAAAACTGAGTTGACTGATCCATGGAAGTACTGTACTTTAACCCTTAATACATAAAGGAACCATTCCCTGTTGAAAGGCAAGAGCATAATCTGTTCTTGAAGCACTGACACACACACACACACACACACCTATCCACAAAGAGCCTGCTGGAATTTTGTATGTTCTTTGGCGTTGTTTTCCTTTGCTTCATCCTTTAGATTCTTTGTTACATGTCCCTAAGTTTTATCCTCAGTTTATCCATAGGTCATATCAAAACCCTTATTTTGGCCCCAAAACCTGCTCTCAATTTGTACACAAAGTCAACTTATAGCCAACTATATACAGTAGTTGTAAGAAGCCACTGGGACAGCACTGCATACGTGCTTGGAACACTAGATGGCAGTACTTCACAGAGAACTGTTTTATAAACATTTAAAAACATGCTTCTTGTCATTCAACTGCTGGTTGAATTAAAAATACTCCAGGGTCACCTTTTCTAATAAAGCAAAATGGAATTTCATAAAATTCTGCAAAAAATAATTAAAAACCCAGACTTTAAATCAGTTGGAGAAATAATGACAAAGAAACTCTTGTGAAAGCAAGATCTCTCATAAATGTGTTGGGGGAAAAACTCTGCCCTTACAGAAAAGATTGCAGTAAACTCTAAGACAGGAGAATGGGGTTCCAGCTGAGTTACTCCTAATCATCAGATAATACTTATTTTAAACAAAAATTAGGAGGAAGCAGTAAGAACCAGCTGGTAGTTCTCCTTTCTCTGTGCCTCTCTGCTACTGAATTAATTTGGTGGGAAAGGATCAAGAAGGCTGCAAATCAAACAGGAAACTGCATGCCCTGAGTGACTAAAGCATTCTTCTGCAACCAGGGAATGCTTCATGAACGTGTGGCCTCTAGTTTTATTTAACCTGTCTTTGGATTCCAGTCATGAAAGACAAAGTCTTGTGTGTCTTCCCGCCTGCTCTTTTGTCCTTGCCCACAGTTACTTTTGTACCCTCATTCAAGGCTCTCCAGCAAAATTTTACTCTCTGCCAGAAGATGTCATATCAGAGCTGCCTGTTTCGAAGTAAATAGTGCAGTGGCACCAGAAGTCATCCACCTGTGACTGTTTATGCCCTTTGAGTTGCCTCAATATTTTTTGCATTAAAATAGCTTTTTGATACTTGGCCAGTTCTCATTTTCTCCACTATGTACTGTCTGTTATTTCTCTTTCTTAACTGAATTCAGAACTGGACTCTACACATGCAAATTTTGTGTCATGTGTTCTGATGATTCCCATAATATGCAATTGTTGGAAACAATAAACAAGTTGGGTACTCATTGATCAACCTACAAAAGGATGGAAGGCTGAGGATCTTGGAGCCCTGCCTGGGATCGAACTCACAACCTTGTGACTGCAGTACTGGCATTTGACCACTGCACCACCAGGGCTGCTTACGATTCCCACACTGCTCTGTTAATTTACTAAATCCTAACAAAGTATGTATATAATATTTTATTTACTAGATTTATAAAATGACACTCTTGCCAACATGCACTCAGGGAAATAGAAACAAAACAAAGGCACAAAAATACAATAAAAATTATGACTGAAAATTAAAACTAAAAAGAAGACAGATTTTAAATATTAAAAAAATTATGGAACAGGAAGTTTTTATTGTCTGCTTAAAGCAGAATGACTTCTCCTGAAATGTCTTTGAGCAGAAAAGTAAATCTTTCTTATATTAATAAGACTACTAATTACTTCATATTATGTTCATTTTCTTTCATTAAAATAGTGTTGGAGACTCATGAAATCCAAAACTGTATGTCATCAGTATGAGCCCCAGAGGAAATAGGAAGTGTAGTAATAATAATGTAAAAAATGAGTAATTGAAGTAATAATCATAATAAGAGAAATGAAAATATAAAAATGCAGAAGAGTACCAGTTACTTTCTGTAAGTGTTACTTATCTTAAGACAGCTTGGTTACACAAAACACATGGTGGCTTGTGCATATTGTGAGGTACAAATGTGTGTGTATTGTGTTATACAAGGAGAGGTTGCACACAATTGTAAAGTATTGAAGATCACTTCAGGCAGGTCTAGTTGCTGCAAGGATGTCGTCA